CGTGGCGTGCGCGGCGGGCGCGCGCGGCCCCACGCCGCCGCACGAGGAGCTGCCACGCGCCGCCGCCGCGCTGCTGGCAGCCGTGGCAGGCGCCCCGCACGCGGCGAACAACGCCCGCGCCTTCGCCACAGCACAGACTACACTGGAGACGCTTGCCACGCAGCGCTCGTGGTGGGCGCGTCTAGCCTGTCTCGAGTTGGCGCAACCGCTGCTGTTTTATGCGCTCCCAGTACTCTGCGCGCAACCGGACGTAGCGACACGCGCTGAGACGTTTACACTCAACCTCATGCGTGATAAGAGACTCGAGGTAAATTAACTGACATAATAACCGATTTTCACTGCAAAGTGTTACCTGAAAATGCAACTCAGCGCGTTTGATGAACGCGTTTGTTCCGTTTGAAGTTGGCAGTCACTGCTATTTAATATGCTCCTAGTATTATGCATTCAACTGGACGTAAGCGACAGGAGTTGAGTTTACACTCAACCTCCTAGTAGAGGTAAGTTAACTGTCATAATAGCTTTTTTTTAATAACTTGCTTTACGGCTCTGGGTTCTAGCCCTTCTGAGCCTGAAGTTACAATGTATAAGTATCCTCCATAGTACACTGCTTCACAATATGTTGATGTGTCACATTGTGCAGCCCTTGGGAAATTTTGACGACGTTTGCGATGGCGATGGTATCTCAAGGCGCCTAAACAGGCAGACACCTTATCTTGAGAATGACATCTCTATCGGTATCGGAGCACTTGTTTCACTGTTTCCACTAACAGTTCACATGTGCAGACACTTAATATACAAAATCGCACCACTTTTACATATCCGCACAGTGTAACCTTGAAACAGTTGCAAGTCAGAATTTTTTTTTAGTAAGTGCGTCTATATCATGCCTGGACTTGGAAAAATCATTGCTGTTTCACCCGCTCCTAGTACTCTGCGCTCGACCGCACGTATCCGAACGTATTAAAACGCGTAGAGACATCAACTTACCCTGTGTGCGTGTATATTAAGAAAGTCAAGGTGAGATTACTATCATGATAGTCGACCTTCACCGCGCTGTGTATGTGCGTTGAAAACGATTATCACATTTCACCTGATGGATGCTTTTATTCTATGCAGAGTTGATTCATCAACTTCTATTTTATGCGTACCTCCGGAGACAACAAAACGTACGGAGACATTCACACCCTTGTGGGATAAAGATCTCGAGGTGCAATTTACTTTCATAGTAGTTGATCTTTATCGTCCAGTGTATCGTGTACTAATATTTTATGCACTCCTGGTATTTTGTGCTCAATCATGCGTAGCAAAATGCGCAGAGTATATGTATATATACAACATTTAACGTAATTAACGCACACCCTCAGACACCCCAATTAGTATATTATGTTATAATCATAATACATACACTGACTTTTTAGTTAAACATGTTTATGCATTGATTATGTATTTATTGAATTAGTTATACTAATTCTGGAAGAATGTTGTGGTCACAGTACAAATCCATGAACGCACGACGCGCGATTGTTTACGTTAAAAATACCTACCTATGAACATTAACCGATGTCCGAATGAACTCCGAACATCCAGTTGTTTATTTAAGTGGAGTAAACATTTGATTGTTATCTTTTCATCACACTTTTCAGCCTTTTACAGTCGACTCTGAATAATTTTTATTATTGATTGGTACAATATTAATAGGAATATTCGTTACAAAATATTATACATTAGTATAACATTGTAATTGTAATTGTAAATAATAATGAACTACTAAAAATAAAAGTCGATGCGACAACATAATTCAAAGACGGCATTTAAAAATGTGAATCAAGATATTTACAATAATTTAAAAAATCAAATACTTTACTTACTAATAGACTACTCATGCAACATTGTATTTTTAATACACTTTCAAAATGACCACCACCTTGTTCAATACATTTTAGTGACAGTTTTCTTAATTGATATTTTAATTTAGAAAACACTTCAGTGTCATTTTTCACTATTCCAAAAGCGTTCACTATCCTATTTTTATATCTTCGGCACTTGTCTTACTAAAATAGAGTAATCAGCGGATTTGGGAGGTCTCTGGACAGCCGTGACCTAGTGAGCTTTCATCGTAGCCGCGCTAGTGCGAAGCGCCAGCGTCTGTATCATGCTATCTCGCTTGAAATAAGGTTCATTTTTCTTTATTTTGTATTGAATAACGGAATTTGTATTAATACAAATAAAACTGCACTTTCAAAATTCTTATTGCCTTGAGTTACGGTCTATTTCAGTTTGTTTTGACTGTACAGGTTTACTGTGACTATAATTTACATAGTTTTAATAAGTTTTGGGATAAAAAATTACCTATATTAAAAATGAGAGAAATCGATTCAGTAAACGATTCTGAACAAACTAATTTCAGGATGTGCGTTAATTATGTTACGTGTTGTATATAAGTATATTATATGCCATAAGGGATAGGTGGGTATATAAATAACTTTAGTTTTTTATTGCAATTAATATTGTATTTTTTCATTCAATTTATTTAAATAACGTTCATATATAATAATTTTAATACTAAAAGAAAACTTAATTATTATACATAATTATAGCGACCAGAGCGCTGGCTGGGATTCCTCGCTAACTTAGCAATGTTTAAATACAGATTCAGTTTCTTTAGATATTTGAGCGCGCTTGGACGGAATAATATTGTAATAATGTTATAATTCTATTTTGTGTAGAGAATTGAATTGTGACCGATTATACATAAGCATTCCCGCTTATACCATAAGTATAATTCAAGCATATTGAAATATTTTTTTATTTCAGGTGAGACAAACTGCAGCCAAACTTCTGACCGGTTTGATGCATTGTCGAGCGTTGCCTGACGAAAACCAAACGCTTCGCTCGTTGATGAACAGCTGCCGGTCCAAGGAATTAGTCGAAAGGCATTGCGGGGTTCTAGGGTTGTGTGCGTATTTAACCTCCCGGCCATACAGCCTAGGACCTAAATTGGGCGATGTACTAAATGAGCTAGCGCGGCATACTAGCGCCCCAGATCCCATACCGGCCACAATACGTACAGCTCTAGCAGATTTCCGTCGCACACATCAAGACGACTGGCCGAAACACCGCGATCAGTTGACTGAAGAAGAACTCGACTTACTCTCCGATCTTACTTCGCCACCTTCTTACTGTGCGTAAATAGGACTTATAACTACCTTTTATTTTTGTAAATTAGAAGAGAAGAGAAGGGGAGGGGAGCTCCACTGCTATGATAGAAGAGGATCAAATCTAAGTTATGTACTTTTTTCTGCTTAGAGACAAATAATCGCAAATCATTAATCATTATAATCATCTTAATGAAAACTAGTTCAAGACGATTAAGTTATTAAAATGCGTCCACCCTTTCAACTATATATACTAAGAAAGGTTTAAGGCTTTATTTTCTGTGTAGGAGTTCGTCGAGGTTAGTACCACCCTCTTTTTATGGCCAAGCAGTATTGTATACATTGTTATGTTCCGGATTGAAGAGTATGTGGAGCCAGCATAATTGTAGGCTATGGACATTCCATCTGTCTTCAGGGGTGTCAACACATTTGGAGCATTCTTGTTTGAAATCGGTTACAGGTGTTCATGGGATGCAGCGGTTACTTACCATTAGGTAATTTGGTGGATTTTTTATATGATATAAAGAAGCCAGAAAGTGAGTAGATAATTGCAATTATACAACAAAGTAATATAAGTAACAAAAATTTATTTTTGTATTTTTATTGTTGAGGTATTGTTATTTTGGGATTCTTTCAGTTTTATAACACCTTAGAAATGTACCGAATTCTGTTTATATGGTGGAGGCTCCATAATAGTGGGGTGTTAGTTCTACGGGTGAATTGTGATATAATTATTTTAATATTTTTCATAACTACGAAGCTTTATGTTGAATGGTTCTGTTACGGCGATATTACATGGATCTCGTTGCAATATTGCTTTTAATTTCATTGCTTCAATAGCATTAAGACATGTAATTACATTACAATGCGATTGTGCAATCTCATTGAAAGCTTAGATTCACCGAACGCTTTCAATGTAGTGGTAACAATATTGGTCATTGTTCAATGCGTTTGAAACGTGATTGAACGGTTACTCATTCCGTGCGCCGCACGACACGTATTTCGCGTGCGCACATGAATTTTCAAAAAGGTTTTCAAGTGGAGTGAAAATGGGTTTTAATAAGTTCATTATATTGACTTCTTGTCATTTGCAAATGGTTCAAATAAGAATTTGGATCTTCTTCTGTCCATTCTACTAACAAGTTGCTTGAGGCTCCTTTAGTTATCCTTCTCGAAATCCACAGGCGCAGTCACCAACGCCGATATTTTCTTTTCTTATTATTATTTTTAATTACTCATGTATTAAATAGTAGGCAGATTAGGAAATTCCCGCACGTACGAATTAGAGCGACATCGCATTGCGCTGTGAACATTGAATGTCATTTAACCCTAGACACCTAACGTTTGCCTGCCCCCTACAAACCCTAACCATTCGTCGATTCGACGAATACTTTTTAGGGTGTTTTAATTTCAAGTTATAATGTAACTTTTTGTTATATGTATTGCACATATACTTGGTCCAATTATTATTCTACAAAATGAAACAATGAATTTCTGTATTATTACTAATTATATTTTATCACTCTTATAGAAAGGCACTAGCTTTTATGAGATCACTGAAGACAACATATTTATAAAAATTAAAATAAAAAAAACGACAAGAAATAGCCTTTTCTTCTTTGGCGTACCTAAATTATAACATCATAAACTATTTAGAAAAATAGACAAAAACTAATTTTTTAGAGCGCATTTTGAACAAAAATCAACCTTATGTTCCCCACATATTGCTGAATTACATTTAGCGCATGATGACTTTGTCATGCGCCTTTTGGTATATGAACATAGACCACAGATTTTTCTTTTTCTACTATTTGGTGCCTCTGTTGGTTGAAGGTCGTTGCTGGATTATGGCTGACTCTGACCTTGACCTTCATCGTGCCCTGAACCTAATATATTTGTGATTTTATTCTTGATATGCGTTGGTATGGTACGAATTTCCAGTCGCATTTTCGGCCATGGTTCTACAAGTTTCGATTGCATTTTCTTCATAAAGTCACGACGGTTCATTAGTTTTTGACCCTGTACAGAAGCATTGTGGCAGTAAATTATGTAACTAATGATACATGCTATATTCATCATTCCATAGAAGACGCATATTGGCCAACGATTAGTTTTTCTGCTGCATGACATTATTGAGCATATTTGGTCAAATGTGTCTACACCACCTTTTGTCTTATTATAGAATTCAATCAAGCGTGGCATTTTTGTTTCTGGATTGACTGAGGCCTCTTCATCACAAGAAGAAAGCATGTAAACCATTTTCGAAGGTTTAGGTTTGTACGAAAGAAGTGTAATGGGTCTATCATACACGAACATTGACGTATTGACCCTTCTGGTTCCATTACTCGTTCTGTGGTTTTTTAATTCATCCGGGATTTCTCTTTTATTAGATCGTAATGTCCACACAATTGTTAATTTGTAAGGTTGTCGAAGTAACTGTTTTGCAAGTGGTACTGAGGTGAACCAGTTGTCCATGGTAACGTTTCTGTTCGTGCCGTGTATACTGCGAGTAAGTTCCTGTACAAAGTACTCTCCTAAAGGTAAACCACCTGTATAGGTTCCTTTTCCAAGATACGGCATACAGTCCAGCATATACCTTGTGCCACTGTCACACATCATTTCTAACTTGACTCCATACTTAGCGGTTTTATTCGGAATATACATCCGGAATTTGCACCTCCCTCGGAATGCCAGCAACTGCTCATCTATGGTAACATTTGTTCCAGGAACATAATTTTGACGGCACTGAACCATAAACAATTCCATTATGGGCGTAAAGGGATCGTCTTTTTGCCGTTGTAAGCGAAATGTTTTATCGTCGAAACGTAGACATCGCAGAATGAAATCGCACCTCTCTTTACTCGTACACAATACATATCTTGTACCAGAATATTCTGTATTGAACAGTTCATCAAGGGTCAGATGATTGTCTTTCAGAGCTGCACTTAACACCAGGATACCCAATAGAGCTCTGATCTCCTCTTTGCCAGAGTCATTTTGCGTAGAAGTTATTTGCGTATAGGTCTGTTTTTTTATCGCAATCTCTGTGTTTGTCCATTTTACAACCTCATCTATTATCTGGTCAGTCATGAACCGATCAAATAACGATACTGGATCGACAATATCCTTTAGTGCGCGAGTAGGTCCCCTGGCAATACGTACAATATTTATTGCTGCTGTTGTGTTGGAAGAACGCCCTTTGTTAGTTGCCCAAACATGGCGAGACCGACTGCGGACCGTGCTTGTTGAGAAGGACAATATACTTGGATCTTTACCCGAGCTCACTTCTGGAGGTGGATGAGGTGTTTGTGGTTCCAGCACATCATCAACCGCAGCAGGAGAAATCTGCTCTTGAACAACTTCATCGTCGGAAGAACCGGAAGACTCTTCTGTCTGATTATCACTTTCAATAGCATCCACCTCCAGATTATCTTCAGTTTCGCTATAAGATAATTCTTCCGAAGCACTGAAATCTTCCTCTTGTAATAACAAACGCACTATATGTTCATCAGGTAGCAATTGTCTTGAAGACATGATAAAAACTGCAAGAAAACAAAAACAAAATTAGTTGCAAAAGTATACACAAACCCTAACCATTCGTCGAAACGACGAGCACTATCGTAATATCTCGAAAAATATTGTACTTACCCACTGGACTCGAACGCTTCCCGGAAGAGCTCGGCGAACACTGAATTGACGGGCAACGTTACTATGATCGTCGCACGCGCCGAAAAGAGACAGCGAATTTTTTGTCGCGTACTCTTCAAATTGACGAAGGTTAGGTGTTTAGGGTTAAATTATTTACGTGTATATTGGTAAAGCCGTTCAATATACAATGTTCAATGCTTTTCAATGGAATTGTTTCAAGTTTGGTTGATCCGTGTAATATCGCCTTTACAGTTCATACTAACCATTTGTCTCAAATTTCATGCAGTTTTTTTTTTGAAAAATTACTTTTTTTTGAGCTTATATTTTTATTTCGCACTTAAAGATCTGTCGAAAGGGTCATAATAAAATGTTGTATAAATATGTATAAAGTCATAATTTGATAAGAACTTGTCAATAAAAGTATTTACATATTTATGGTATTATTTATTTTTTGATTTAATTGTCACACCGATCCAATGTAAAGCAAGCATTTTATTTATACGAAAAGTAACAGAATACTGGCTACTTTATGACAACACCCGGTCATTAAGTAGTATCTTCTTTTACCCTGAGACGATCTTGAATTCCAATTCAAGTTCTACAATGTCAAAATGAGTATCATAATATCCAAGCATAATAAGATCTAATTATGATACTTACAAAAAGTTTGAAATTTTTAAGTTTGAGTTTAAACTAAAGATTGTCTCTGAATATTGGCCTAAGGGTGCTTTTCCACCAGAGATGTGCTATGCTATGCTAGCTATGCTGCGAGGATATGAAAGCTAAGCTATGAAACTATGTGACCGTTTCCACTGATGCTAAGCTATGTAGCGGGGCAAGTAAGATGCCGCAGCTCGAGCTATGCGATGTCTCGACAGTAGGGGAAGCACACAAGCCATTAGGGGGAGCACTGCTCTGCACATAGCTACACCACTCGCGACCATCCATAGCACGCATCCATCTAAGTGAGCTAAGCTATGTAGACCAATGAATATGATGTGGTGGATATCAAGCGCATCTATAACAACGTAGTATAGCACATCTCTAGTGGAAAAACACCCTAATGCCCACATACTCCAACGCCACTCAAAATTTAAGATATCCTTAAGTCTCGTGGTGTCACAGTCACTTTGACTTATTGAGTATTTGACCACAGTTAAAGTGAGCAGACGAATCCTTTATGTTGCTATCACATTCTACTTTTAGATTTGCTCAATCCAAGAACACAAACCGTCAGAACAGTTTTCTGTACACCCCTGCTCGAACGGCGACGGTTAGGTACTGTCGATAGAGAGTAATAATGTTCTGTGTATGGAGAGTAAGTAGGACTATCCCTTTTAGGGGACAAGATGGAAAAGTGTCCAGCGCTAAGCTGTAAATAACAGTTCAAAAACCTTCCATAATGGCGCTAGCGTAGGCACAGGGTATATGAATGTAGCAGTTGAAACATTGAAGTGCATAATTAAAAAAAATATTTTTGGTGACTAGAGTAGTTAGTTAAATATAACTTAAAATAACAGCTGTGAGAAAACACGGAGAGTGATTTAATTTTGTGAACTTCAAATACGTTATGTAATATTTTAGTGTGTACTGTTCTAAAACATTTAATAGTCCAAATTAATATTTCTGTTTTTAAAATTTACCTTGCTGCTATTGTAGAGCCACCCTAATTTAACGCATTTCGACGAACACTCACAGAGATAGTGCTTTTTACCTCTACCCTCCTAGTTATGTGGTTAGATCACTCATCCGTACAGTGACGTATGACTAAAAAACAATTCATTCATTATTACAGGCACGTATGTGTAAAAATACTGCGAGGAGGTACATACGATCAGACTCCAACTGAGATTACATCATTAGTCCCCCTTTTGTATTATTTGATTCCCTTGTCTTCAAGAACAATCGCTCGCGACATAGTGATATAGTTATCTTATACGTAATGATTTACATACTCTTTGATATAATCTAATGTCTTCAAGTCATTGCTATCTATACGCACTTCGCTAATTGACCCTCAGTAGTGGGAAGCTTCGATCTAACATTGTAAATTAGATATTTAATAGTTTATTTTAAAAATTTCTAAGTCTAGGAAATTAATAAAAATGAAATATAAAACTTTAGGTAAATAAATAAGTATTAAAATCGTTTCCTTATGTTATTATAAAATAAAGAAAGTCAATAATATAAAAAATACAAGGCTTGTATTCATATTTAAATTCGAGTTTATTCAATGGCTTAAATATATTATACCAAAATAAATAAATCATCATTTACCAAAAGGCATATTTTCTCATTTCAATGCTGTAATTTTTATACCGTTATATAAAAATAATATTTTTTCACTATATACTATTTTATTATTTAACAGAATAATTTGTTTTCTAAATTATCAAATTAAAACTTGTAAGCATTAAATGTAGATTTCTTTTTACATCTGTCATAAAACAAAATAATTTTTTTTCTACCTTCAAAAGTTAAATATTGTTACTTAATAGTAATAACTTATAATTACTTAATAGTATTAGTAATAACATATGTATGCGTTACTTGTTATCTAAAATACATGTACATCCGTCCGCTTATAGCAAATTAGGTGTTTATTAAGTTTGAAATCCAGGCCAGGTTAGTAAAGTCGGATCGGCGAAAGGCGGCTAATGGCCATTCTTTACGTAGAAGTACTATTATATCATCGATATATACTACGTACTAGATTTCGATTTCCGAACATACACTATGTTCAACTGAACTGTACTGCAATCCGTACAGTGTGTCATTTAGTGTGGTTTTAATTTCATGCAGTCTGAAGCGTCGCTAATAATTTTAGTTTTCAAATTAAAGTTTTAATTAAAAACTGACCGCGAAGACGCAACGCGCTTAAATCAACTGCGTATGCGCGACTACTATCTCCCGCATATGCGCGAAGACATAGAATAGTGCACATTTTTTGTTTAGAATGGTTTGTCTAGTACGTAGTACATATAACTCAATGCTATTATATAATATTCGTTGCTATTGCTATGGCCGCGTAATGACTGCCTCCTTACGACTAAAATACAATAAATAATTAGTATAATAAAACTCGAACGATTGCAATTATTGTACATACTTCAGGGCTCGCAAATATAGTTACTAGGATTTGTGTCGTTTTCGAGTTTACTTGTAAATGTTTCATCGTCAATAACTCTGTAGACGTAGTTTCTGAACGTATAGAGATTCTCGAGCCTGGATTCATTGTTAGCGGTGCGGATTTTGAACATAACGGGAGGGACTCTCTTGATGCCAGATTCTTTTGATATGTCTGCATAGTATTCATCCTGAAATATAATAAAATGGTGAAATTCGTACTTAGATATGTTGTAGCCCGTAATGAGGACTAATAATCTTGATGCCAGATGTCGCTAGTTGGGACTGAGGTAATTTTTTTTTGTTACAATGGCATTTAATTTGAGAAGTTAGTAAGTATGAAAAAATGACCTGCGCAAATTTAGCACCCCATCTAATGATTTCCGAAATCAAAATGACCTTGATCGATATGTCTACGTTAGGTCTCTATAGACCAATACTAACCTAACTATAAAGAATGCAAAAATTATAAAATTTAATCAGTTTCTTTTTAAATGAGGTGCTAAAATGCCAATTTGTAAGTTTTGAAAAATTTAAATAATTATTTATTAAAAAAACTAGAGGTGACCTAACAAAAATTTTGGTGGACCTATACAGACCTAACTTAGACCTATAGATTAATGTCATTTTGAGTTCACAAATCATTAGATGGGGTGCTAAATTTGCGCAGGTGAAAAAAATGTTTATTAGTTTCGAGAGTATAATATTAATACACAAAACAATGCCTCAGTGGTTTGCTTTTTAATTTTTTGTACATTTTTAGCTCTTTTTTTTAATTTTTGTACTTTTAGGAATATCCGTAATTTGGTTTACTCATTTCTAATCTAATTAATATATAGTATAATAAACCCTTGCATTTTCCTCACAAATGAATTTCCTCGGCATGAAATCTGTCAAATATTTTACCTTATCCGCCCTGGTGGCAGCAAAAGCGTGGATCTGGAGTTCAATACGTGTGTAGTTATTATAGTTCATCTTAAGGTGACACTAGTCGACATTATTTCCATAGAAATTTCGGAGGGGTTTTACTCCGCTGTTTGACAGTGTACATCCAAAATTAAACATGATATCGTTTTGTCTCATTATTAAATTTGTCTGTACGGAAACAGAATAGTAAAATAAAATGTTATTAAAAAGTTACGAGCTACCAAAGATTCGTTTTTATTGCCAATTTTAACACAACTTTGGGCGTAAATTAGTAATAAAAGAAGTGTAAAATTTCCAAAACAAAGTCGGTACCGACACAGGTAAATTATCGAAGAACTCAATAAATTTTATTTGTAATTGATTAATGCAGTGGTTTTTTCATAAAACCCCTTCTTCCAAAGGCCTTTTCGTATTTTTTTACGCGCGCATGTTACTATGAATTATCGTGCATCTCACTGAATAATGTCTCCCCCGGTGCGGTGCGGGAGGACGATGCTTACACACACATGCACAGGCGGTGACGCGCGCTTATAAGTATTCGAGTTTTATTCGAAACGAAAAGTTTTGCTATTTTGTAATTTGGACGCCAAAGACAAAAGACGGCATGGAAATTGATATAATTGAAAGAGATGATGCGTTTTGGACGACAGACAATATTTTAAAATTTTCGTCTGTAATATAATATAATTATAAAAGTAAAAAAAGTAAAGTCTATATTCGATTACTATATAAAATTGCAACAATTTCATTGGTGCCGACGGGGATCGAACCCGGGTTGCTCGCGTAATGTGATACTTACAGCGAGCGCTAACCATCTGAGCTACCACGGCTCT